TACGAAAACATTGGTGAATGCCACAAATTCTCCTAAATCACTCGTACGCACAACTTAAGAACAAATCTGTGCGTACGAACATGTTCTTGCATGAGGCCCAAAATCTATAATCTTATCTGTTTCTCAGACTATAGCTCCAGAGCAGATGGGCTTCAGTTATCTGTGTTTAAAGAACTAGTTCAGCTGGCTCGACTCAAACTCCTGGAATGTATAAGTAGAAAATTGACCAATCCCGGCTCTCACCAACAGGGATGCAGAGAATGTCGGCCTGCAGCTGCATCAGCAGCCTGTTGGACGTCATTCCTCCGTCCACCTGCAGCTGAGTTAGAGGGATGCCACTGTCCTGATTCATGGCGTCCAGGATCTGCAAACGCATAAATACAAACATCATTACACAGAAAACAACTGATCAATCAAGTTACATTATATAAGAAAGCAGAGCCAGGACAAACAATCCACCTAAATTCAGTATTAGACACATTCTAAACTTTCTCAGAAACTTGTTTTTTACCTCTCGTGTTTGGAAACAAACGGCTTCCAGAGCAGCAAAAGCTAGGTGGTACTTATTAGTGAACTGAGTTAATCCACAAATAATCCTACAAGACAGAGAGGTTCAAACTGTGTCAGGTACAAGGTTCTCTGCCTCGTTGGGCTGCAGTTCAGAGAAGTCAGGGGCTGGTCGTACCCTCGTGCGCTCGGCTCCCAGTACGGCGCGTAAAGACCTGAAAACGCAGGAACGAAGTAACAACCGTAGGACGTGCCGACTGATGCAGCCAACTTCTCTGCACAGGAACAGAAAAACAACAGAGACATTGTGTTACTTTAATAACCCATGTTAAATGGTGCATTTACACATAAAGCATCTTCTGTATCACAGGTGTTAAATGCCAGGCCTTAAGGGCTGCTATCCAGTAGGTTTCTCTGCTCAAACAGGAAAACACACCTGATTTGCATTAAAGGGACAATATCATGTAAAATCAACTTTTTTGAGTTTTATATCATGTTATAATGTTATACTCTCATAAAAAACATGCCCAAAGC